CTCTCTCGAGCCCCCACCACAGAAACCCACAGCCACGAGCACCCTCACGAAACGGTTCACGGCTCACGCACCTCCACGGATAAAAGACCTCTCACGAGCACCATCCCCTGAGCACCGGACTTCCTACCACCACCTCAGCTTTGTGGCAAAATACATCCACCTTGCTAAGCTCCTATGAAGCTTTTACCATTGAGCTCTGTCGGATTTTTGACCACTTGGTGAAGGGCCGTGAAGCCTTGAATCGACTGTTCGATCTGAAACAAGGGTCGCAATCCGTTGCTAGTTTTTCAATCTCTTTTAGAATCTTAGTGGCTAAAAGTGGTTGGGATGAACCCGCGTTAATGACATTGTTTGTACGTAATCTGACAGAAAAATTAAAGGATGAGCTAGCTTCATGAGACGCTCCCAGTTCTCTGGAAGCGCTAATTTCACTAGCTATTAAAATTGATAATTGTTTACGGGAACGTAGAAGAGAGAGAACGGCTGGGGCTAGGAGGTCCTGAAACACTAAAAGGTCGGGCTCATCAGTGACGGAGAGCCCTCTGGTGAGCCCATCTTTTCCTGTTTCGAGCTCTTCCTGTCGGGGCTCCGTCCCCGCTACTCTCCACTTATTGTCTCGAGTTTTCCCTGTGCATGTTTTGATTGACTCCGGTGCTGACACCAATTTCATAGACTTCTCTTTTGCTCGTCAGATAAACGCTCCTATAATGGCTTTAGACTCTGCCCGAGCAATAAACGCTCTGGATGGGAGACTGTTAGCCAAAGTGTCTCACTGTACTGCCTCACTGTCTCTCGTTATTTCAGGTAACCACCAGGAGAACATCCAATTCTTCCTCATCTCCTCTCCTGCATACCACTTAGTCCGCATCCGAGAAGGTGATGAATGGAAAACTGCTTTTTATACTCCTTTAGGACACTTTGAGTATCTGGTAATGCCTTTTGGTCTCACCAACGCCCCCACAGTATTCCAGGCGTTAATGAATGATGTTTTTCGGGACATGATTAATCATTTTGTGTTTATTTATCTCGATGACATTCTTATTTTTTCTCGCAGTCTCAAGGAACACCACCAACACGTATGGCTGGTACTGCAGAGGTTGCTAGAAAATAAACTCTACGTGAAGCCGGAGAAGTGTGAGTTTCACGTACCATCGGTCAGTTTCCTGGGCTATATCATCGCCCAAGGACAGCTTCAGCCTGACCCTGCAAAGATTCAGGCGGTACGCGACTGGCCTACTCCGGCGTCCCGCAAAGAACTTCAAAGGTTCCTTTGTTTTGCTATATTTTATAGACGGTTCATTAAGGACTATAGCAAGGTCATTTTACCCTTTACTAGCCTCACCTCATCCAAGGTACAGTTTGTTTGGACCTCAGAAGCCAGCGAAGCATTCGCTGTGTTCACGGCTCCAGCATTATCCGGCATGCCTGCCTTTTCCTCTCTCGAGCCCCCACCACGGAAACCCACAGCCACCAGCACCCTCACGAAACGGTTCACGGCTCACGCACCTCCACGGATAAAAGACCTCTCACGAGCACCATCCCCTGACCACCGGACTTCCTACCACCACGACTCCCTCCACGGAACCTCCCTCACGGAATCCTTCCCCACACCTCGGCACTGACAGCCGCCTCCTCGCACCCCCCACCACGACTGAGACCTCTCCACGGGATTCCCTCACCTGGTTTCCATCACAACCCCACTTTTGTGAATAAAACCTTTTCCTTTAACCTATTTCTCCCTGCCTCCCTCTTTCGTTTGGGTCCGTCCGCACAGCTCCTGTGCACGGGTCGTCACACCATCTTTGATTTTAATTATCTGCAGACCACCTAAGACAAACAGTGCTTTTATTCATGAATTCTCTGAGCATGTTTCATTTTATATGTCCAAGTTTGATAAAATTCTTGTCTTAGGTGATTTTAACA